TATTTCATTTTGTTTGAGGATTGAGAAACAAAAAGATTAGAGCACATGGCACTGTTTTTTTTTTTCTGAACAGGAATAGACCAGATGCGATACAGGGCGTCTACACAATTATTTTGTTACTCTTGGGTTGTTATGTTTGCTTCTACTCAGAACAGAGCCATCGGAAACCTCAATGTCATCCAACAGGAGTGCGCGCGAGTGTGTGTGCTGAGTCTCTGATTGATGGGATGTCCTCTCCTCAAGGTCTTTGATTTAGAGCCATCCCAGCCAGTCCTAAGCACGGTTACGGAGCAAAATCATAGCCCACCAGAAGGCAAGTTTGGGGAGGCCCCTTAGAAATCACAGTTGCCAACCCCATACAATAAAGATGGCAAATTGAAGCCCAAAGAGATGAACTTATGAGGCTGGTCACATAGCTTGATGAACACCTAGATGGGTCAGAAACCCAGACTCCAGCAAGATACAGTGGAAAGAACATTGGCCTATGACCTTGCAGATCTGGGTTCTTATACCTGGTCTACCAGCCACTGGCTGCCTGGGTGGTCTTAGATAAGTCACTAGCGTCTCTGTTCCAGTTTCCATATTTATAAAAATGACTATAGCAATTTTATGCCTATCTGTCTTCTCTCGGAGGTCTGTCAGAGCAAACGGGTCTGAGGGTGCTTTACAAAGTGTTCTACAAAAACCAATGATTGTGTGTCTGTTTGTCACGTGTATATGTGTGTGTGTGTGTGTGTGTGTGTGTGTGTGTGTGTCTATACCAAAATGTAGGCTGCATAGTATCACGGGAGAAGAGTCCAAATTTGTTAGGATTCTTCTGGTTGTTCCATTGTAAGTAATAAATCTCAACTCAAACTTGCTTAAAAAGGAGGGTGGGAGGGAAAGAAGGGGAGTAGGGTGGGGAGACTGAGATTGATTTATTGATCCCACAACGAAAAAGTCTGAAGATTATAGGCTTCAGGTTCTGCCAGATCTAGGGACTCAAGTGATGTCATCTGGCCCCACCCTTTCTCCTCATTCTCATTTGTCCTCTTGGATGCTTCCATTATTAGGCTTTCTACAGTGGCTCCTGGTGGGTTCACGCTCACACTAACCTTCCAACTGTCAGTCACAAAGGAAAGAGATGCTCCTTGCTTTCTTTCATTTCATTGACATATGGGCCTGGCTTGGGTCACATGCCCATAAAATTAAAAAAAAAATTTTTTTTTTTTAATTTTTATTATTTAGAGAGAGAGAGAGAGAGAGAGTGCAAATTGGGGAGGGGCAGAGAGAGAGGGAGAGAGAGAATCCCAAGCAGGTTTAGCACTGACAGCGCAAAGCCCAACATGGGGCTCGATCATGACCTGTGCCCAAGTGGGGAGTTGGATGCTCAATTGATTGAGTCACCCAGGTGCCCTGCCCATAGATTTTTAAAACACGGGTTGAGGAGATTGCCACATGTGAGAGTAACTTTGTGCCTGGTCTTCAGTAGATCATTTATTTGCTTTTTTTTTTTTTTTTAATTTTGCTTAGGCGAGTATATGAGGGATGGTGAGGGGTTCAAAGCCACGTCGTAAGGAATATGCTAAAGGGGTGGGAGAAGTTTAAAAGAGAGGGAACCATGGATACACAGAGGGACTGTTGTGATTATCTTCAGATATTTGAAGGGTGGACATAAGGAACATACTTATGTTCAGAGTAGCTAGGGAGAGCTCTGCTAGCAGCCTGTGGTGTATTTATAGATGGGGAGATTTAGAATGAATGGGGAAGCGCTTCTAACATTGGGGTTGCTGACACTGAAGTAGCCCCCCCCCCCAGGATGTTATAAGTTTCCTGTCACTTCAGATTTGGAGGTGGGTGTGGGGGCAACCACTTGTCACAAATCTGTAGAGGCGATTCAGTTCTCCTGTGAATATTTTTCCTAAAAGGTAGTGTAGCAGATGTCCCCCTACTTGTGGCCCATTGGGTTTGCCGTATCAGTGTGCTCTGGCTGACTTCCACCTTCCGGCTTCTGCCCCTCAGAGCCTGAGAGACTTTTCTGGAACTGTAGAAGGTCGCCCTGTCATCCTGTGTACGGCAGGTTTGAAGGGCTGCAAATTATTATACCCCCAGGAGCCGCCCTCCACCAGTGACTCTTAGGAGTCGGCATATAAATATCTCAGCCATCTTGCCATCTTGTAGGATAATTCCCAGGACGTGTTTTACACCTTTTCCCAGAGTTTCCCTGGGAGATTAGGCTCTAGATGTCCACAGAAATAGCGTGCTTAATGACTTATTGGCTGCCTTCCCTTCCCCATCTCACTTCCCACTCCCCTATGGCTGTCCCCGAGTCACTTCCCAAATAAACTACTCTCACTGGAATCTTCGTTTCAGGGTATGCTCCTGGGGGAACCCAAAGTAGGAGTGGTAGCTCCTAACACTATTGGTTCAGATAGTCATTTAGCAACAAACACCAGGAGTTCCTCTGGGTGGTAGGTGCCACAGGAGAAATTAAGGTGGTGAAGATGTGGCTCTCAAGCATGAGAATAGTCTGTGTGGAAGGGGGAGATGGACCGCACCTTGACCGCACCCAGAGAGGTCAGAAATGTTAGGAGATGCAGCCCCAGGAGTGGTCAGGCCATCGGCCCGTGAGTCTTTCCACATTTCCTTGGTTTCCAATAGCAAAGAATATTTTTGGAACAAGAACTCCTGGAGGCCAGTCCTCCTTGCCTTTTTTGGCCAGGGCCTGCCTGGGAGTCATACCATGCACACGATGTTCTTAGGAAAACCATTCTGTCTTTCCTTCACATGCTCTCCAGGCCAGGCAGCTGGGGAGGCAGCAGCAGTCAAGGTGGGCATATGTCCAGGCCCCCAGGCTGCTGGGCAGTGATGCCAGCCCAAGCATACTGAGGTTGCTTTTTTTTTAAGTTTATTATTATTTTCTTTCTAGTAATCTCTACACCCAATATGGCCTTCGAACTTACAACCCTGAGATCGAGAGTTGCACACTATTGCAACTGAGCCAGCCAGGAGCCCCCCTGAGATTGCTTCTTGATTTTAGAAATAAAAAAGATGAAAATCCCCCCCGTCTTCCTAACCCCTACCCACCATTTTTTTTAAAGTTTGTTCATTTGAGAGAGAGAGAGAGTGTGCGCATATCAGTGGGGGAGGGGCAGAGAGGGAGAGAGAGAGAATCTCAAGCAGGCTCCAGGCAGTCAGTGCAGAGCCTGATGTGGGGCTCCATCTCAGGAACTGTGAGATCATAACCTGAGCTGAAATCAAGAGTCAGATGTTTAACTGACCGAGCCACCCAGGTGCCCCTCCCTCCCTACCCTTTTTTTTTTTAATTTTTTTTTCAACGTTTATTTATTTTTGGGACAGAGAGAGACAGAGCATGAACGGGGGAGGGGCAGAGAGAGAGGGAGACACAGAATCGGAAACAGGCTCCAGGCTCTGAGCCATCAGCCCAGAGCCCGACGCGGGGCTCGAACTCCCGGACCGTGAGATCGTGACCTGGCTGAAGTCGGACGCTTAACCGACTGCGCCACCCAGGCGCCCCATCCTCCCTACCCTTTTAAGACTCAGTTGTAAACCTGCTTCCTCTGTTAAGTCTTTGTGGCCCAGCTTTTTCCCAGCCTGCTACCCCCTCTCTCCCCTGAGCCCCTCTGCCACTACTTATGGGACCCTATGGGACCTTCCCTCTTCTTGCTTTGAGTTACCACCACCCACCCTTTTCCTGTGTTTACAGTTCTTCTTTGTGAACAGAAGCAACGCTGTTTATTGAACACCATGTTTTATTGGTTATGGAGTGCAAAGTTTATGGGGAGTCAAAGATATGTAAATATGCAACTAAAAAACTTGAGAAACCCACATGTCCCTTGAGAAGGAAAAAGATAAGGAAGTTTTTACAATCGTACCAAGAGATACGTAGGTAGCTGTTGAAGAGAAAAAGGTACATGAGCATGTAAGGATATGGGGGGAACATGTCGGTTACAAAGGTAAACTATAGCCTCAAAAAGACATGGAAAAGCCTAAAATGTATATCGCCCAGTGACAGGAGGCAGTCTGAAAAGAAAATGTGCTGTGTGATTCCAACCTTTTGACATTCTGGAAAAGGTAAAAGTGCAAATACAGAGAGAAGATGGGCGGTTGCCAGTGGCTGAGGTGGGTGGGGGTGGGGTGGGTAGGGATGAATGGGTAGAGCACGGTGGGTCCTTAGGGAGGGTGAAACTATTCTGTATGCTATGTAATGGTGGCTTTGTGACATCATGTATCTGGCAAACCCAGAGAACCCAACAGGGAGGGCGAACCCTAATGTTAACTATGGACGCCAGTTAGTAATATATCAATAACCGCTCCTCAATTTTACCGTATGAACCACACAAGATGATAATAATAGGGGAAGCCATGGTAGGGAGGGGAAGTAAATGGGAACTCTCTGTACTATCTGCTCAATTTCCTTGCAACCTGAAACCACTCATCTATTAATGAAAAATTATAGAACAATAGGAACAGTATGATTCTATTTGAATAAACCATCATTGCACTGGTAAGCGCGACGATTTACATGTTTGAAAGCAGCAAAAGTCTAGAAAGACCGGTACACCATGAACTGTTAAAAGTACTTCTGGCAGATGATGAGTGCCAAAGAAAAGGAAAGACTGTCACTTTTTAATGAAATATTCAGATATTAGGGGCACCTAGGGGGCTCAGTCGGTTAAGTGTCCAACCTCAGCTCCGGTCATGATCTCACCTTGAGCCCCACATCGGGCTCTCTGCTGTCAGCCAGGAGCCCACTTGGAATCCTCTGTTCCCCTCTCTCTCTTCCCCTGTCCAGCTCGTGCTTGCGTGCTCTCTCTCTCTCTCTCTCTCAAAAATAAATTTAAAGAAATTTTAAAGAAATATTCAGATATTAAATGGCACGCAGAATAAAGTCATGGCCACCTGTGTAGCTCTCCGACCCCCACCAACGAACTTCTGAATCAAAACATGGGGGAAGGGATTCATATTTGCTACTCTGTGTACTTTTATATCTTACAACATCAGCACATAAGCTTATATTCCTATTGTAATTTAAAATTCCTATTGTAAAAAAAAGACAAGTCAGAGCAGTGATTGGACGACGTGCTGCGTGACAGCAAAGGTGGAAGCAATGCATTATGGCTGGAGTTGGGGAGACTCAGAGGTTGACAGACAGGTGACATTGAAGCTGGGGCGGAACCGAGGAAAAGGGAAAGGGGAATTAGCAAATGCAAAAACAAAGAGCTGGGAAGGGCCCAGCTTCTCTAAGGAGCAGAAAGTGATTCTGAAAGGTGGGGGCAGGGAGGAGGGAAAATGTCCCAAGAATTAGAATGGAGCCTGCAGTGTTTACTTCTGGTTTGATTGTGAAAGATGTTCAGTATTGCAGTGAGGAGTTTGGTCCTTACGTAATCAGCCAAAAGTATCTTGAAGCGGCATCTAAGATGGTTCAAAGACCTGCGTAGATTTGTTTTTGAAGACAGCAGCAGCAGGCAGCAGGGCCTGGATTAGAGATCACCAGACATGCTGTCAGTAGGGTGATTCCTGTGTCCTCCAGCTGCAAAGACGTTAAGAAAGCATGAGTTTTATTTTACGGTCTTTATATATTTTGTTCATTTGTGTTGGACGAGTAACTTAATTCTTGCTCCTGATGTGTTGAAACAACACAGAAATATGCCCAGCTGTCTGTGAGCGCTCCCCTTGACCTCTCCCTACCCGAGTCTTCCTGAAAGCTAGACTCTGTTAACCCTCATTATTCTGGGAAGTCACGGTACAGAGAAGACCACGGCCTTCCCATCATCCTCACAAAGGGGTATGAACTAGCTTCAGGAGGTCCCACTTAAAAGCGGCTATGTTACTTGAGCAAGGCACTAAATTCCCAAAGTCCCAGTGATGACATCCCCTTTCTTCAGAGCTTCTTGGAGATCCTTCGTATTTTCTCCTTAATGGTGTGCCATTGATTTTGTGAGTTCAGAAGTGAATGACCGCTTGGCCCTCATGAAGCCAATTGTCTTTTCCAGGAGACAGTCTGTTTTTGCCTGTAATGACGAAGGGTCACTATTTGTGAGTCTCAGTATCTGAAACAGAGAGGCGTCTTGATGGGGGGGGGGGGGGCGGGAGTGTCACAGACTGGGTCTTCTGGGAAATTCGCTGTGAGATGGAGTTACTGTGCCAGAGGCTGACAGGGGAGGGCTCCTGTGATCCACATCTGTGGAGAGGAAGGAAATGAAGCGCAGTCAGCTGGGGGGGAGGGAGAGCAGTCATGCAGGTCCAATGAGGGCCTCAGCCAACCTCACAGGGAGTTCTGAAGATGGGAGGATCCTTCAGAGTTCTGGACTGGGACAAGAGGGCAGGGCCTTTACACCCCACGCCAGTCAGCCATGGGTTTGGATGGCTGTGGGTGAGAGACGCCATGTTGGGAGAGGCAGCTCTCCTCAGCTGAGGCAATCCCCAATCCCCGGCAGGGGCTGAGCTGAGAGCATAAGACTTCCCATCCTGAAGTGTGATCTGAGGTATGCATCACAATGTCTACCCCGGAGGTGAGGCATCCAGGGGCCTTCCTGACACCCGAGGAAATCCATGGGGGCCCTAGGCTTCCAGGAGGATCTCCTCTCCTTTTCCTCTTGAGCTTCTGCAGTGGCAAAGGGCCTTGCCAAAAGCCCTCAAAAGTTCTTAATCTTTTTGACAACTACTTACTGTCTGCCGTGTCAACGCCAGCATCACAGCAATGCCTTAGCACAAAAGTGCTTACGTTCTAGAGGTGGTGGGGTGCAGACCATAAACAAAAGAACTGATTAGAAGACACAGTCTGTACTGTGGTGAGGTTTGCTGTGGTACAGGAAGGGGGATGGGAAGTGCTATAGGGTGGGGGTGGGGCAAGGATTTCCAGGCAGACCGACTAGGAAGGACAGAGGTTTGAGTCTGGCTGTTGAGAACAGTGAGCAGGCTGCCATGGCTGGAGTAGTGCAAAAGAAAAAGACAGGACTTTCAGGAGGGGCCCCAGAGGTGAGCAGAGCCATTGGGGAAGGGCCTGGAATTTCCACGAGCCTTGTGGGTCACTGTGAGAATTTGGATTTTTCCTCTGACGTGGGGAGTTGGTGGAGGGTCCTGGGCACAGGGGACATGATGTGGTTGACATTTTAACAAGATCTGTTGAGATCTGTTGAGAATAGACTGTGGGGAGCAAGAGCAGAAGCAAGGAAGGCAGTGAAGGAGGCTATCACAATGGTCCCGCTGACAGATCAAGCATGGATTGGACTGGACCAGGGCGGTAGCAGTTGTGATGGTGGGAAGTGATGGTATGATAGGAAAAGATAGCATTCAGTAGGCAGAAAGGGAGAGGCTAGGACTTGAAGGTCCCTGCTTGGCAAAAGACACTGATTTTAAAACATTTCTTCCGGGAAGGGCAGCCCTCAAGCAAACTCCCTCAGGCATAAAGTTCCTCTTGAGAATGGGACGGACAACTACCTACTCCCCCTCAGGTTTCCCTCAGGAATTTGACCGACAAAAGACCTGACTAAAAAGAAGTAGACCGTAAAATGCATGGCCCACAAGGAACAGTTTGACCATAGACCACCCCTCATACAACGGAAAGGAGCCAATCAAAAAGGAAGGATTAGACATTTACAGTTCTCAAGCCAATAAGGGTAGAACTGGAGAAGGAATGAGGGGGAAGGAAAAGGGGCCAACCTAAGCCGATAAAAGAAAGACCCTTGCCTGTTGTCGGGGGGCATTCACTTTCAAATGCCCCCTCTGTGTAAGAAGAGCTTCCATACTATTCTCACTTCATAACCTTATACTCTAAGAAACTTTTGCCCGCTGCTCATTTCACTGTGTCCAGCTTTTCATTCTTCGAAGCGGAGAGACAATGAATCCCGGGTATTAAGGTAAAAACCCCTGCAACTATGGTACCCCGAGCGCATTTCAACGATGAAGGCAGGGGCACCTGCTGGTGAGTTCCATGTGAGTCCTGAGAAACAGGAGTCAAAGATGCTCTAGCCTCAGGCAACTCGGAAGATGGCATTTTCATTAACAAAGATGAGAACCACCGGAGGAGATTTAGGGGTCGGAAGCAATCAGGAGCATATTGCAGACTTACTAAATTTCAGAAGATGTTAGCACATGTCATGTTTCCATTGGCTGGCTGCTTTTCATTAGCTCTCCAGCCTCTCAGTAGAGGGATTACTTTCCGAAGTGGGATCCGTGTCTGCCAAGCTAGACCATGCCTGGAATATGCCCTCTTCACTCCCTGGGCTTTTCCTCCAGAGCACATGGTAGTCTGCAATGATAGATGCGTGATTCTTGGATTAATTTGTACCTCCCTCACTAATTCACAAGGTCCATCCCCAGCTTTAAGATCAGTGTCCGTTGTGTTGTAACTATTACCATGAATGAATGGAAAAACTGCGTGTGGAGGAGGAAAGGTGTGTTTTACGCCTCCTCCCTGCTTCTTTTTTGTGAAAGTTGGCAGAATCCTCAACTCAGAGCAACTCTACTTCTTTTTTTTCTTTTTAATTTTTTATGTTTATTTACTTTTGAGAGTGAGAGAGCTAGAGCACAGGCAGGGGAGCGGCAAAGAGAGACGGAGACATAGAATCTGAAGCAGGCTCCAGGCTCTGAGCTGTCAGCACAGAACCGGAGGCGGGGCTCGAGCCCGTTGACCGCAAGATCATGACCTGAGCTAAGGTTGGACGTTTTACCAACCGAGCCATCCAGGCACCCCAGAGCAGCTCTATTTCTAAAGTCTCTACCACCAACCAGTCCTCTATGCCTCCCCTGAAGTTATGTCTCTAAACCCAGCCCTGGTGGCAAAGAGCATGCAATATGGAGTTCAAAATCTGGGTGACCTTGAGCAAATTTATTAACCTTTCTACGTCTTAGGAAATAATAATTAGTACCCATCTCATAGGACTATGGCTAGGATTAAGGAAAATAATTTATGAAAAATGCTTAGTGCAAAGGCTAGCAAATAGTATGTGCTTAATAAACATTAGTTGTTGTTGTTGTTGTTGTTGTTATAATTATTTTATCCATCGTACCTTGAAGAGTCATCATGGTTCACTCTGGTGCCTACAAAACGATGTTTGAACTCTACAGCAGGTAGGGGCATCTAGGTGGCTCAGTCAGTTAAGCGTCCAGCTTTTGATCTCACCTCAGGTCTTAGATCTCCGGGTCATGAGTTCAAGCCCTACATTGGGTATGAAGCCTGCTTACAAAAAAAACAGCAACAATTCTACAGCAGGCATCCACACCCACCACCTTCTATTACATCTTAATTTCATTGTCTGCACTCCCCTGCCCAACCCCACGATTTCCCACTATCCTTTGTGCTTTCCTGCAGCCCACTCCTTCTACTTGTAATGTCTTTATCTCATCCTTCTGCCTGTCAGGCTCTGACCCATCTTCGGGACCCAGCTCAAATGAGGAGCACTGTTGCATAATTATTTTTCTAGCCCCCCCCCCCCCATTGTAGAAAACAGAGCCCAAGGCAAGGATTAAAGTGCTCACACTACACTGGGGAGGCACAGATCCAAGGCAGCAGGGATGGGGAAAGTGCAGTGGGACAAGGGAGGATGTGAAGCAATATGACCTGATGCTCCACTGCGTTGAACACAGGTTGTCATGCGTGTGTGTCTGCTCTGCACATGGAACTTCTCTCACCCCGAAGTCGTCCACAGCCACAGGAGACAGAGAGGAGGGGCAAGCTTCTCTCCAGCTTCCCCTTGGTGGCAGTTGGCCCCATAGGGCCACTCCTGGATGCATCATTGTCTCCCTTCTCTCCATCCCATGTCCCGCAGCAGGATGTTTCATCCAAATCCAGAAGCAGGGACACAAGAGTGTCTGCCTGACCAGCAGCAGGTGCCAGCCAGATGGCAAACCTTTTCCACTTCAAGGGAAGTGCCTCGTTGGTCTTGGGCAGCTGCAATGGGATTGAGGAGGTGGGCGGTGCCAGACAAATGAGTAGACACAGAGGATATGAATCCTTCGCGGTGCCCAGGCGGTAAAGCTCGCGGATTCTGGAGGAGACCGCTTCCCACGATTCACAAGCTGTATGAGCTGGGCAATTCACTGAATTCCTCTCTGTGAGTTTTCTGTCTTTTCTCTTGTCGCTTGCACTTTGAAAAACTTTTAAACCTGCAGAAAATTTCAAGTGTGGCACAAAACCTCCAGTATACCCGTCATCCGCATTCACCAATTGTTAATGTTCTGCCACGTTGCTTTTGACATTCTCTCCCCCGCTCCCCCTGCCTCTCTTTCCCTCTCTCTCCACACACGCACAAACACACGCGCGTGTGCACCCACTTATTGACACACGCAATTATAACTATTTTCTGAAGGATTTGAGAGTAAGTGTGTATTATGCCCCTTTCTTCCTAAATACTTCGGGGTGACTTTCCTCTGAACAAAAATATTCTCCTGTATCATCACAAAACGCTATCAAAATCAAGAAAAGTAGCATTCATACAGTGCTATTATCTATCTAATCTACAGTCTGTATTGACATTTCACCAGTTATGCCAACGATGTCCCTTATCACACATTTTTCAGTGTCCCAGTCTGGCTAACGGGACCAATGCTAGTGCCGTCTCATGAGGTTGTAATGAGATGGAAATGAAATAGTACATGTAAGGCACTGCAGGGCAGGCCCTGGCACAGAGTAACAACTCCGTAACTGCTAGCTACTTCTAGAATGATTCCTAACTCTTCAGTGAGGTCCTTCGAGTCCCCTTCCCCTCAATTCAAAATCAGTCTCTTCCCTCTGTGTTTCCTTAGCACCGTATTTCTACATGCCTTGTAGCAGTTTCACATTAGTCTTGTTCATAAGCTTCTTAAGACCCCAGGGCTAACTCCTCTTTGCTTCTCCCTATGGCTCCAAGAGCATCTCGTACATAGGGCAGCACTGAGTTTTTTTAGATGAAAGCAGAAGGTTGCTGAAGGAGATTGGAGGGAATGCATCTCACAGTATTGTGCTAGTAGACACGTTTTTGTCTTCAAAGAACTTATGAGGGGCGCCTGGGTGGCTCAGTCGGTTAAGCATCCGACTTCAGCCCAGGTCATGATCTCACGGTTCGTGAGTTCGAGCCCCGCGTTGCGCTCTGTGCTGACAGCTCGGAGCCTGGAGCCTGCTTCGGATTCTGTGTCTCCCTCTCTCTCTCTCTGCCCCTCTCCCGCTCATACTCTGTCTCTCTCAAAAATAAATAAACATTTAAAAGACATTTAACATTTAAACATTTAAAACAACAAAGAACTTATGATTCATGAGGGTAAAGAGAAATACACAGGTGAAGAGTTAAAATGAGAACTGAACTGATCTCAAAGCAGCCTCTGGGGAAGGGCTAAAAGTGAATAGGATAGACAGATATTTGGGGAGTTTAAAGGAGGAAAAGACTCTGGAAAGGAAAAACAAATAAGTCACTTCCAGAGAGTATTCAACATGGCCTCCCCAACAAAACAGACTTTGTGGAAGCCCGATAAACCAAAGTTCTAAGGGCAAAGCTCTCAGATACACTTTCCTGAGGCTTGTGAGCCTGGGTGAACAGCTGGATTACATTTCAGCCTCCCTTGCTAAGATGACGTTCTGGACAAAAGGACCTGGGCGGAAGTGATGTTCTCCACTTGCAGGCCTGGCCCGTCAAAATCTCCCGTGTGCCCTCTCCCTTCCCTCTCCCTCTCCAGTGGCTTTAGAGACCACGTGTGGAAAACCGTGATGCACAGGTGGCCTGAGCATGAATCTCCGCACGACTAGATGAAACAGAATCCCCACCCCCTCCAGCCCACACTGCTGTGAACAGGAGGCAACTTTTCTGCACTGCACCACTGGAAGGTGAAGGCTGCTGGTTACGGCCACCATTACTTACCCTGTCTAGTGCACAGTTAAAACTGAAGGCTGGATTCAGAAGACTCATGTTTATATCTTAGCTTCATCTCTTGGTCACAGATGAGCCAGGTCAAGTCACTTCATCTGGGAACTGCTGTGAGGAGTCAATGGAAAAAGGCTTTATAAACTCTGAATGTGCTATAAACGTCGGATGTTATTAGTATTCATCCATTCCTCCTAAACTGGCCAAAATAACGGTCCAAGAATAGTATACAGGGATTAGTCATTCTTTCCAAACTAACAAAAAGAAGAACACAGACTGGGGTCTCATGATACTGGCATTAACTCAAGTGTTGGAAAAGGAGTTTGGGTCAGTCTACGGGAGGCCAGTGATTTTCTTCTGAACTGGGGCGACTTTTCTGCTTTGCTATCAAGGGGTAAAATTTTTGTGAATACTCCCTTATTTGGAGGTAACCTCAACATCGCGATCTCTCAAGAGTTCAGCTTCTGTTGAGGGAAGGCAACAAGAAGAAAAGAGAGAATTATTTCTAGGTGAACTTTAGCAGTTATTTTCCTCATAGTCAAATACATTCAAAGTATCCTTTGGGGCCTCAGGTTGACCGGTAGTTTTGTATTTCTCACAAACGCTGACGATTCTTTGCTTTATCAAGGAGGTTAGGATGATCCAGAAATCATATTCCAACATGAATTATATGTTAAAGTGAATGAAGGACAGGACCAAGAGACGTCCAAGACTGAGAGAATTACTCCCCTCCACCAGATTGCTGAATACCAGAGCAGTCCTGGGGGTGGGTAGGCAGGCTTCCCGGTGCGAGGTTTGGGGGTTGGCAAAGAATCTCAGCCTCAGTGAACAACTTCCAAGGCACCAGTGGGAGCTCGTGAGGCCACCCACTGACAGGATATGGCCCTTCACTGGTGACAGTTCCTGCTGCAGCCGGATGAAAGCAAGAGGCAGAGTTTGATCATTAAAACCATCTGGGCCCTTTATTCCTGGACCTGAATCCAGCCCATTCTAAGGAAATGATTTCTTAAGCTAACCATTGCTCCTTTTTCCCCTTTTCTTATGACTCCGCTTCCTGTGTGTAGCGACACGTCCCCCTTCTCCCTAGACTTTATCAGCTTCTCTTGTTTTCTTTTACATTTTGGGGTTAGGGATGATTCCAGAAAATGAAAGCCCTTCCTTCTTTTCTGGATCTTTTTTCCCTAGGATTGTATTCCCTTCCTCCCCTGTTGGCCCTACTGTTCGTCAGATTTGTTTTCACTTCCATCTGGATTTGGGTCACTGGAATGTGAATCAGAAGACTTAGGCTCTTGATCATCAGCGCACGAAGCAACTTTGTTCTGCTCAGACTCCGTATTTCGTCTGTAAAACTAAAGTTCAAACCAGAGCGGCTCCCTATCTACTTCCTCCTTAGGTTCTGTGTAACATCAGTTCCCCATCAACAGCAGAAAAAAAGACGTCTTCAGAGCTGTCTCATTCTGCAGTTGAGTGGATGTTCCTTGTTTGTCTTTTTTAAGGTTAAAACAAATGTTTTTTTTTATTTATTCTGAAAGAGAGAAAAAGAGCACGAGTGCGGGAGGGGCAGGGAGGGAGGGGGAGAGAGAGAGAAAATCCCAACAGGCTCTGCACTGTCAGCACGGAGCCCGAGGCGGGACACCATCTCACAAGCCGTGAGATCATGACCCGAGGCAAAATCAAGAGTCAGACGCTTCACTGACTGAGCCACCCAGGCACCCCTGTTCCTTGTGTTTTGGAGTGAGACATCTGGGTGAATTTCCAGAAGAAGCAAATTGAAATCCTGGCATGCAAATAAATTAGGAGTAGAAGAGGCCTCAAGCTTAGAAGGACCACACATTATACGTGAGGTTTGGAACTTTATTCACTGAGTGGTGGAGAATCTTGCAAGTGTGACCAGATTGTGTTTTAGGAAGTTCATTTTGATGGTTTATACGAAGTATGGTGAAGATAGGAGACAGTGCCACCAAAAAACTACCACCATTTTTCAGGCAAAAAATGAACAGGATTTAAAGTAAGAAAGTGGAACTTAGTTGGAAAAACCAGGAGGGGGCAAATTTGATACATTTGGGGATTGGTTGACTGATTGACTGGGGAAGTTCAAGAGGGAGAGGAGTCCAGGATAACATTCAATGATTCCAAGGGATGGATTTCTCACAACGATAGTGGACACCTATGACTTTTTACTGAGGAAAAAAATTACACCCTTTCTTCTGAGAACTGTTAGCAATTTACTTTAAGGGAGATACTATTTTTCCCATAATTTTGAGCCCACGGCCTTAACTGATAGGTCTAGAAGGACACCTCCCCTGTGACAATCATAGAACCTCAACCCACTAACAGCAGTTAATGGATACAGAGGAGGGCAACTGATTCGAACCAAACCAATCAGAGTGCTTGTCCAGACTTTTTAACTTGGAACCAAAGCAAGCTTTAGTCTGGCCTTTTTAGAGATAGAAGTTTTCCATGGACTAAACGTTTTGTGACCGCCCCCCCCCCCGTCCCCCAATTGATATAATTTATATATTGCAGCCTAATCCCCAACATGATGGTATTTGGAGGTGGGCCTTTGGAAAATTACTAAGTCATGAGAAAGGAGACCTCATTAATGGGATTGGGTCCCTTATAAGAAGTGACATGAGAGAAATAAGCTCTCTCACAGCCATGTACTTCCCATACAGTAAGGAGGTAACTATCTACAAGCCAGAAGTAGGTACTCACCAGACACAGCCTTGATTTTGGCCTTCCCAGCTTACTGGGAAGATGTTTCTCACAGGTTGTTTGTTATTTAAGCCACCCAGTCTATGGTTTTTGTTATAGTAGCCTGAACTAGGAGAATGCTTCAAGATATAAATGATGGAGCTGGCAGCCATATTTTCTACCATATAGAGTTGGTCTGAAGCAAAAGAAAATGAAACCAAAAGGCGAAGAGAAACAGAGAGGAGTCGTTTTTTTTTCTTTAAATATATATTTTATTTATTTATTTATTATTTATTTGTTTATTTATTTATTTGCTTTTTAAATGTTTACTTTTGAGAGAGAGACACAGAGTACAAGCGGGAGAAGGGCAGAGGGAGAGAGAGAGAGAAGGAGACACAGAATCGGAAGCAGGCTCCAGGCTCTGACTTGTCAGCACAGAGCCCGATGCGGGGCTCGAACTCATGAGCTGTGAGATCATGACCTGAGCTGAAGTTGGACACTTATCCAACTGAGCCACCCAGGTGCCCCTGTTTATTTATTTATTTGGGGGGGGGGGAGAGAGAGAGAGAGAGAGAGAGAGAGAGAGAGAGAATCCCAAGCAGGCTCCACGCTATCAGCACTGAGCCCGCCTTGGGACTTGATCCCATGAACTGTGATCTAAGCCAAAATCAAGAGTCAGACACTTAACTGGCTGAGCCACCCAGGTACCCCCAGAGAGGAAAGTTGTATAATGTTTGAGACCCTGGCTTCAGTTGTTCCTGGGGCCCAACAATTTGTTTATACAAATTTCCTTGGATTTCCTGAGACAATGTTTTCCCTTTGTTGCCTAAGCTAGTTCAAGGTGAGTTCAAGCACTTGCAGCTAAGACACTTGACTAATATGGCAGTCTATTAACTGAGTTAGGGAGGAACAGAGAGAGGCAAGTCTGAGAGAGAAGATTATGATGTCACTTTTGGACATTTTAGGTTGAGTTGCCTTGGATATCCCTATGAAGATTTCCAGCAGTTACTTTATTATGACACTGAAGCTCAAAAGATAGATCACATTCTCCCAGTCATCCAAAATATATTGAAAAAGACAAGTCTAAGTATGATGCCCTATAGTATATCACTACGTACACCCAAGTCATGATACTCTCAGGCTATAATTTTTTCCAGTTGCCACACTTCTATTCAGTGGAGCTAGTATTCAGCTTACCATTCTCACACTGCTTCACAAGGATATCAGAAAGAGTTTTTCTAAGAACTTGGATGAAATCAAAATTGAGTAGTTCCATGGCATGCCCCTGATCTTCTAGCTCAGCAGAACAGCATCAACATAAGGTGGAAATGAGATTAGTCCGACATGACTTGATCTTGGTGACCACCACTCCTAGGACTGGCTGCAAATGAATGTTGCTCTTCTCTAACTATTCATAAATTAAGCAGCAGTAACTTATTCTTTCTCGGCTAAATCACCTGTGTTCGTCTAAACCCATAGAACTAAGAAGTAATAGGTGGATGTATTGAATCTTGAATAACGTCTAGTATGTATCTCTGTTAGCCTTGTCGGTTCTATGCATGGATGCTTTTGGACCTCCAGGCAGGGAGATCCCAACATTCCATTAACTCAACGGTGCCTGTGAACTGTTCTTATTGTTCTGTTCCGCACGGAAGGGTGACTCCGAAATATCATCTCATGCCACTCCACGAGAAAAGTATCTTTTCTTTCATGCCACACCAGAGCCTATTGCACCCCAGAGGGTACAAATATTGGTCCCAGCACCCGCACGCTGTGTGATCTTGGGACTTAACTATACTGAGCCACAATTTTCCTCATCTGGAAAATAAGAACAACAATGAATTCCTTAGCACATTTGTGAGAATTAAATTAAAGGACATGTATACTGTTTATGGTGCACAGTCCACTTTCAATAAAGAGTAACTGTGACTTATTTGCTTACTTGTGTTTGCTTATTTGTTCTAGTTGATGCCATGGATTACTTCTTCCTCTTTCCCATTCACCCATGCTCACCTCTGGTCGTGATTCTTTTGCATATCATTGACCACTCTTTTTGATTTCCCTTTTGCATTAATTGGTTCATCATGTTTGGGCACAGCTCATCCTCATGAAAAAAAAGCTAAAGCATATTCCTCTACTCATACGAGCTGTCTGTATGGATAGGCTATATAACTGGTGACCTTAGGCAGCTAGTCAAGTAAGGTCCTTGGTCATTTCTGTCCACAGCCCTGACAAAGTGTCCACTTTCGAGCTGGTTCCCCAGTGCCTCCAGGTCAATCCAAACCGCACTGGGGGTAGATTATGTACACGTTACTAAACATGTTAATACACGTAATTACACATCTGGTTCATCATCCCTTTATGAGACACGTATTTCTGTCTTGTTGGCAAGAGAGCAATAGCTGAGACAAAACTGCCCTGCCAAGCTGAGCTAGTAGGGCCTTGTTATATAATACGCAACATCAAAGCAAAGGCAAAGAAGAGGCTCAAAGATATTGCACCTTTCCAAAGATCAAGACCATCTTGGAGTGACCTCCCAACTAGCTCTTGGTATCCCTTTCTCTCCACACCCATTCCCTAGCCCACGATCACACCGTCCTCCCTTTCAGCCTATTCTCTCTTCTCCTGCCGGTGGGAGCTTTCTAATTTGTAAATATGACTATGTCTTTTTGCTGCATGAACTGTTCAGTCGGGCTTAAGTAAGGCCCATGGTGATCTGGCCGTGACATACCTCTTTAGTCCCGTTTCTCACCACCCCCAGCCTCTGGTCTATGGTTCAACCACACTAGACACTGGAGTTTTCAGTTTTTT